CTGCAGCGACCGTCACTCCTAGTGGGGCTTCTGTGACTTGGCTTGCTCTAACTCCCTCGGGCCTGGAGCTGAGCGCGCAACAGGTGCTCCCGAGGGGAGCAGGCTGCAATTTTCCGGAGCGTCCCTGTGTCCTGCCGCAGTGGAGTGTTCGTTGCGGGCCCGGGTTGTGTCCCTCGCGGGTGATTTACTGGAGACGAACCTGAAGGCCTGGCGGGAGACTGGCCTGCAGCACCTGGTGGTCTGCGGGCGTCCCCGGGCCCTGAGGGTGTCCCCGGGCTGTGTCACCGCCGCCACGCAGGCAGCCTGCGGGGCTGGTTGTGCCAGGCTGGGTCAGCTAGCGGACCTGAGAAGCGTGTGCGAGAAGAGATTGACTTTTGGTGCTTGTAATTAACCACTTCTCTTGTGATGTGCCAGCGTTCTGACTTGTTGTCCCTGTCTTTATTGCGTAGAAGTTGATGTTATCTACTTATGGCCATGAATAGATGGAGAACTCTAGACAAAGCCAGCTTTTATACTTCGAGCTTGTTTATAGGCTGGAAGGTAGGTTACACCAAAAAGTGTAACAAATGCAGTTAGGTGGATGTTAGCTGCTCTGGTTTGGGCTCTGCACAGAACTGGCTGAGAACCACTCATCCTGTTCTGCTGAATCTGCTGTTTTCTTGGACAGGGATTGGAACTGGCTAAAATACACAAGAATATTAAATTGTAATGGGTTACCTAATAAACCTATTTTCAGCAAGGGTTATCTTTAAAGAAAAGTTTTTTTAAAAGTTGCTGACGGATTCCTTTGCTCTGTGGTGAGTGTAGATAAGTCATTCATTTGTTTTTTAAGAACAGCTTAATGAAGATAGTTCATTACGGTGAGTCACATGGCGCTGATTTTTATGTGGTGCAAGGAGAGTTATGCTGCAGTAGTGTTGCACAAGCTGCTGGCACTGTAACAAACCACTGTCTTGAAAGCATTCGTGGAACGGACTTAGCTCTCCTGGTGACAGAACTAGTTTTAAACAGCAGAACTGTCTCGGGCTAAGTGGAGCCCTCACCAAGGCGGAGAAGCGTATTGTAGGCTTTGCCTTTCTAGGCAGTGCTCTAAGAGTTGTGTATGGATCTTCACTAGGAATGGGATTTCATGCTATGCAAGCCGAGTAATATCAACTGCCGTGCTTTGTTGTGTGTAGTTTGAAGCATGATGGATGTGTGCTGTGTGTTCAAATGGTCTTGTAAGAGCTTACAGTTTCAGCTCAGTTCGGTGGGCTAATTACAGATTTTCCCCTTTACCTTCATTTTTGTTCTGTAATTTCCCTGTTCCTTTATCTGCAGCATCCAAAGCAGAGGGTTGATGTGTTGGTGACGGACTCGGTCATACAGCTGCTGTCTAATTTGGGAGCTTAATGTGAAGGATTTTGACACTCTCTTTAAAACAGCTGTCTACAAGTGACACTTCAGATTGTTTGTATACTCTAAAACAACTTAGAAGTGGCATAATACTGCGTTCTCTTCAGTTAGACTGCTTTTAGTTAAGACGCATCTTGTATGTGTTTATAAGCATGCTTACTTCAAAATCTGTTTGGTCGGAGGGGATAAATTCCTTAGTTAGCATTACAAAATGAAATCTTGTTCTCTTGGTCTGGGCGTGCTGTGTGTGTCAACTAGCAGGCCACTCTGCCTGCTCTGTGTGTTTAATAAAACCCAAAGCAAAATCCTGCGTTCATCAGTTTCCGGAAACACGACGTCCCTCTTAAAGCTGCCTTGCAAACGGAAGTTGCAAAACTTACTGTTCACAGTTCATCTCTCTCTGACTTGGAGAAAGCAGGACACCTCTCCATCAGGTAACCTTTCTTATTTCTAGGGCTAAAAAAACTTCCTCCCCTTGTGCAAGCAGTCTGTCCACAGCTTTAAATAAATGCCTGCCCTAGATAGATGACAAACAGCTTGCTGAAGCGAACCTGACTTGCTCGAGAGTTGGGGGCGTTATTTTGAATGCAGAGGGGGATGGGAAGAATATGTCTGCAGCTTGGAAACTTCCTGTAAAGCACAACAATTAAAACGGTTTTTACAGCAGACACCTGTTAGATTTTTCCCTCTCTGTCCCAAAGTAATTGTGCCGTGGGGGTTAATAATGGGACTTCATGAAAAGGTCAGGGTACGGAGATGAGGGATGTTAAGACAGCATGTGAAGGCGCAGAATGAATTGCTCAACTTCTTGTAGCATAGTGGAGAGTTTTTGAAGCTGACCTTGGAAGATTTTAAAGTACTTGAGGTTTCTAGTTTAATTTTCAAGCTCCTGCCTGCAAGTACCATAAATGACTTCTACCCTTTTTAAGTGAATAAAATGGAATTCCTGCCTGATGACTCAAGGAATTAAACAAAGGGGAGCAGCTATAGAACACAGGGAAGTCTTGTCATAGCTTGCTTTTCAGATTATAATGCTTACTTATTCTTTATTGACAATGTGGCAGTAAGGAACTGAATTAAAATGAGTTTATACCTGTTTTATCACTGAAAACTGATATTCAGCGTGTGCAAACAACAGGTTTGGAAGAGGAAAAGCTCTTGTTCCCTCTAGCAGAGGGAGGGAAATGTGGGTTACCCTTGACTGTCTTCTAGCTAATGCGGTTGCATATCCAGTGCTACAATTCTCAAGATGCGTCACGTTTTAAGGTTCTGGCTCTCACGTGTCGGGTGACAGGGTGCAGCTGCAGCGAGGACAAGTACGGGTTTCTGACCCTCATTTCCCACTACTTTGCTGATGTAAAAGCTAAGAGGTGATCATGGATAGAGAACTAAGTATTTTGGGTATACTCAGAGATCCCGGATCTAGGAAGATGTAGACTCTTGTTTGGTTGAACTTTGTTTTCCTGTGAAGCTTAGGGCTCGCTGCTTCTCCTGCAAGGACAGGTGATGCACACGCCTGGGCACAACGCACCGTGGAACCTGGCGTGCTTACCCTACCGGCTTGCACCCCTGAGAGGCAGCAAGAAGGGCTGTGTCTGCTGTGTCCGTATGCTGCTGCATCCTAGCGTTAGCATACAAATCTAATGATGTGCTTGGCTGACAACGTCACAGTTGGTGGAATGGCACTCGCTGTATTCACACAACTGCCTTGTTCAGTGTTTCAGTGATCTAGGACAACTAGCAAATCCTTGTTCCTTTTTGTGGCACTCATCTCTGCAGGATTGTGATATTACAGCTGGAGTTACAGCATATGCATTGCCTGTGCTGTAGGATCAGATACACTTTGCTGCCATGAAAACCACAAGATGTTCTTATGCTTTATTAGAGTTAATTTGCTTGTATGAAATTTCAGTTTCCTGGCAGAGGTCATGATTGACCTTTCTTCCTCTCCCGCCCCCCGCCTTTTTTCTTCCCCAAATTGATTACAATCCATTTGCAAATTAGTGGTTTAGCTGTAACAAAGGTTTAGTATTATAATTCTTGCCTTGGAGACTCATCCAGGCATGCAAATTCTACCTTTTGTAATTGTTACTGGTGCCTTTCCTTACCTTGTAGCTTCCCAATTACTGAAGGATGTCAGCAATTGGAGTAGTGTCCTCCTGTTCCTGTCTCCGTCCTGGTGTATGGCTGCTGAAACCGGGAATGCAGAAGCTGAGCTCCTTGGGCTTACATACAGCGGCCAGGTGTGCTGCCAAGGATTATTATGAAGTACTCGTGTTGGGTGGAGGCACTGGTGGAATCACCATGAGTGCTCGGATGAAGAGGAAAGTGGGGGCAGAAAATGTGGCTGTTGTTGAGCCAAGTAAGGTAAGTCCTCCTCGGCTGTAAAGCATTGCTGAGAATAAGCGTTTTACATATGTGGCCATAATGGTCTGATTCTCATCCCTCGTTTTCAGCTGTGGAGACGAAGCTAGCTAGCCATCTTTCAGAAGGCTTTGCATGAAATTTGTTGCTTTGTGATAGAGATGCATGCATCCCTCCAGCTTTGTCGTGCAAGACTCTTGGTTATTTATACAGCTTCTTTTGTTAAGAAGAGTACAATACTAAGAACACAGTGATTCTTATTTGGAGCGATTTGCCTTCCTCTTAAAGTCCCTTTAAACAGTTTTTAAATGTCCTTTTGAACATTTCTTGCAGACTCATTACTATCAGCCACTGTGGACTCTGGTTGGTGGTGGTGCAAAGCAGCTGGCAACTTCTGCACGTCCGACAGAAAGTGTAATGCCAAAAGGTGTTGAGTGGATCAAATCTCGAGTTACAGGATTGGATCCAGATAAGAACTGTGTCTGGCTGGAGAATGACGTCAAGGTAATAACGTAAAAAAAAAAAAGATAGATATTATTCTTAGTCTCTTTTTCTATGTCATGAGTTGTCTGTCCAGCTCCTGCAGATCCCCTGGGCACTGCCTGTTGAGCGAGGTGTTTTTCTAGCATCTAGGAGGCCAGGAAATTCCACTTAGTCTTATGAGAAGTACTTGATCCTAAAATCTGTTTCTAATAAAAATTGTTGTAGATAACTAGGTTAGAATAACATCAATTTAAAATACTGTTATCATAAGTCTTTTCCCTGTTTATAGTGAACGGAAGACAAAAGAGAGAGTATTTTGCTCCAAACACTTGGTTTTGTGTATAGCAAAGGCTGTGTGTATAACTCGTAATGCAGTTAGCATTTTAATTATAAATTATTCTTAGAGCTTAGCATTTACATTACTAATGCTCACTATATCTCCTTCCCTTATGACTTTGTTGCTGTCAAATAACTTAAATTTCTTTGAGGTAATGTTTTGGGTTTTTTTCTAAAATACCTTTTTTTTCCCCTTACACAACAGATATCTTACAAGTATCTGATAATTGCCCTTGGGATTAGTCTGCATTACGAAAAGGTATTTGTCTTACAGTAATCATGTTTTTACTAGTTTTAATGGCATCACGTACCCTTAGAGTTCACTAAAGTAAATGGCTTTTCAGTACACTTTTTTTACTGCAAGATATTGAATGCTAATACAAATCAAAGAGCCAGAAGACAGTCTGGTGACTTTACTCCTTCCACAGATCTCTATGTAATAATAACCCAAATTACCCTTGGGAAGGTCTTTTAAGACAGCTTTGTTGCATCTCTATGCCAATATCAGTAGATGGGGCAGCAAGTTAAATCTAGAATGTAAAGGCAGCCTATAATAATGAGATAATAAGGTAGGCTGCCTGTAGTCTGAAGCATGTCTAACATAAACAGAAGTGAGGAACACACAGCAGTCAGTAAAATCTGTCCTGCAGAATTAGTTTGACCCTCTCTCACCTTTTTTAAAGGATGCACTTCAAAAGAAACCAGACGAGTTACCACACTTATGTTGAAGTAGGCTCCGGGGCCCTTCCCATCTGTTAGGTTCCCTGTACACTTTCTACAGTGGCACTCAGAGGAAAATGTTAATACCATTATCTGGCACAGGAATGACCGTAGCGGTATGCAGGAGGAGGAAAACACAAAGGCAAGATGTTTGAGCAATTTGGTTCTTGTGGTTTTGACCTGACCTTAATGGATGTAACACCTGATCATATATTTGAGTATCTCTTGGAATAGCTCCCAAGGCAAAGAGCAAGAGCTCGTCTTAGTTAACTGTAGTCACACCGGATAAGTTCTGGTGCTTAGCTCAGTGGAATAAGGAGTTGCATGGTGTTCAGCGACCCTTTCAGTCTTCATGTGAATGTCTGCAGTACAACCTGAGAAAACTAATTTCAGTATTCAGTAGTAGAAGCCATGTAATACAGTTAATTGCTATTACTCTGTAGTGAATAAAATTCATAGTAACAGATTTATATGGCTTTAAAACAAAAGTGGCGAGTTTAAAAAGAGGGATGTTTGCTCTTATTTGTCTTCACCAGCAGCATACTTCCTGGTGTAGACTGTAACGTCCCAAACACATTGCAGTGCATGTAACATGACTCCATTTTCTCCCAGAATTTCTGCAATCCATCATTTTGAAATGGGGACAACTCTTTTTCTCACAAGCAAATGCTCAGGCGTAGTAGAAGGGAGATAATTATCGGAGACAGTTGAGTGAGAACAAAATAACCCTAGGAAATACAGGTATCTGCAACTGACTACTGAAAAGTTTCATTCAGCTTGTGTTTTCATAAGGTGTGTTTTTTTTAATGTGATTTTTACTTATGATGATTTGGCAGTGACTTCGCATATTCTTACTCTGAATTTCATGCACTAGTCTACAAACACTTGCGTCAGGGTCTGCACTGAACACTTAACGCTACAGATGTTACAGACCAGAGTCATTTCAGTAAATGTTACCTCTACTAAATTCTAATGGAAATACCTGTTTGATTGCTAGGCTTATTTTCAAAAATACCAACTGGCAAGTATGCATGGGCTTTCTTTTTGCTAGAGGGTTCTTAAATATCTATTTCTCATCTGCATTTAATACTTGATGATGATGACAAAATTTTTGCCATCTGTACTTTAAACCTTAATTTCATTTTCTTAGATCAAAGGCTTGCCTGAAGGTTTTCATTACCCTAAAATAGGTTCCAATTACTCAGTTCATACAGTAGAGAAAACATGGAAAGCTTTACAAGATTTCAAGGAAGGAAATGCTATCTTCACTTTTCCAAATACTCCAGTGAAATGTGCAGGTGCTCCTCAGAAGATCATGTATTTATCAGAGGCCTACTGGACGAAGGTAAGTATTTTGCTCTCTCCACCAGTGCTTGTTCCCACAGTTGGAAGGAAGGCTTGTTCTAAGGGTTCATATTATCTTTAAACCAAATGAAAACCACACGAGAGGAATGTGACTAAGGATTATTAAATTTAAGTGACTGAGTGCTTTTTTCTATTATTAATGTATCATAAATGAAGCTAACTGAATCATGCATAAATATTTAGCATATGTATAATACTGGAGAAACTTGTATAATTCAGAATCCATAAGGAAGGAACTGCTTACCCTGCTTCTGGTGAGCTACAGATACAATTGTTCTCAGCCTAATTTATAACTTCAGGGGGTGTACTAAAATAACGCTGGCTGGAAATAAGTAATTCTAGTTACTTAAAGTACTTGATACCTGTTGTCATTTGTCTTTCTGCTAGCCTGAAAAGTGGCTGTGCTTGCTCCTTGTGGCACGCTGTTTCGGCATCAGGAGGAGTCTTAGCCAGGCTGTTAAAACAATCTCAGTGGAAATAAAAGACTTCCAAGTGGAAGTGTCAGGCTTCATATGTGTTTAAGTTTTATGAGCTGTCTACTGGGCAAGTATCTGAATAATGCAGAGAAGTGAAGGTTTCAGACGCTACACAACGCTAAGCTGCTACAACTGCTTAACCTGCATGAAGCAGTTCCTCTTTGAATTGCAGCCACCTCTTCTCACTAGCAGTTTGTGTGGGGTGTCTTCAGTACCTCACTCGGAAAGGGCAGAGATCATCTTGTCTCACTTCTAACATGGTGTGAAATAGCTGTATCTTGACAATTCTAATGTTACTACTTAATTAGCTTACACTAATAATTGAACTGCATTAATAGTTCTATCAGCTCTTCAGTAGTGCAGCATAGTTCTTTTGTCTCTTCTAGCTTGTCACAGTTTCTTAATAGAAAAGGCTAATTTGATCTCTCTGTGCAGACAGGAAAACGATCCAAAGCAAACATAATGTTCAACACTTCACTTGGTGTCATTTTTGGTGTTAAGAAGTACGCTGATGCGTTGCTTGAAATAATAAAGGAGAGGAATATTGCTGTTAACTACAAGCGCAACCTTGTAGAAGTTCGAGCAGACAAGCAGGAAGCCGTGTTTGAAAACCTGGACAAACCCGGAGCGACTGAAGTTCATCAGGTCAGGAGCTCTCGGACCTCTAGTTTGGTCCTGTTTCTTTTCCTTATATACTGTAAGATAACTGCCACCCTGTAACAACATAATGTCTGATTCCTTGTGTACTGCTGTTACCTCCTGAGAGTGCCATCTCTAACTTCAGCAGATTAAAGTTTGAAATGACTGTGAAGAACACAGATTTCATAAACCATGCCTGGAGTCCTGCATGCCTTGTTAGTGTAACTTGGGAATGTCTCGGATGTATACGGAGGAAGGCAAATTGCTCTGTTATGCCAGTCTAAATGGAGCTGCCTGGGAAGGTTCATGTTAATAAAAGGATGCACTTCAAATCTGAGAGCAAAATTTTCATTCTATATACTTGGGTTTTTCTCTAAAAACCCAACACAACAAAAACCCAAGAAAACCCTCCTCCACACTGCTCTTATTGCTGTGTATCAACACAGGTACGATTTGCTCTGATAAACCAGCCATTGAGTGCCTTTTGTTTCTGTCTAGTACGAAATGCTTCATGTCACACCCCCGATGGGGCCACCTGATGTACTCATCAACAGTCCCATCTCCGATCAAAGTGGCTGGGTGGATGTAGATAAGGAAACTCTACAACATAAGAAGTATCCTAATGTGTTTGGTATTGGAGACTGCACCAACCTTCCAACATCAAAAACTGCTGCAGCTGTAGGTAAAGTTGCATGTGTGTGTTTGAGTGAGTAACGGAAGTGGGGGAGTGACAGTAAGCTTTTTGTTTAGTTTGTTATTCCTGAGGTCTTGACTTCAATTATTTCCAGCTTTCAGAAAGATCCAGGTCTCTTGTGCCACGTAATTAGCTACAGACCATGCTGCTGCCATTAACCCACAGTTCTCTTGTTCCAAATGCCACCCATGAACTAATTCTATTTTCTGTGTTCACAGAATGGCGTAAAATTAGTGCACTGCTCTTACATTCTGTCATCATTCCGTCACAAAACTTTCTGCTCTATCTTAGCAGCTCATGTGCACGTGTCAGCTAGCTGATAAGTCACTACTGAAGAATTACATGTTCTGTTCTTGTAGCTACAGGGTCCAATATAAAAACACTTCAGGCATACGGTCTCACAACTAAGTAAGTTGGTGGAAGTAAGAAGGTGGAAAAAAAGAAAGGCTATATGGTATGTTATTGGCGTAATGTGAAGAATGGTATAGTCACCTATTCCAGCAGCCGGGTCTGGAATACTTCCCTTACAGCACTCAAAATGAAACAAAACTTCCATGTCAGAATCTCAGCGTTTGGGACCACTCAACAAGTGTAACGTAACACAGGAGAATGGACATAGGTTAAAAACACACAGCTCAAGTTTCATTAAGCTTTAGCTTGTTAGGCTGTGAGGCCAAAGCATTATTCCAAGTGTTTTTTTTTTTCCTCATCTGGGACCGTAAACTTCCCAACCTGATGTGACGTACAAGTTAAATTATAGCTGAGTCGTCTGAGAAAATGCCCAGCTTGTAGTGTTTGCTCTAGAAATGACGATAATTGCTGCCTGAAACAAAGCCTTAATACACTTTTTAAAATTTCTTCTCCTTGTGTAGCTGCTCAGTCTGGAGTGCTCGATCACACTATCTCCCTGGTGATGAAGAACCAGTTGCCAACTAAAAAGGTACCTACAGATCTTGTCTTAGGGAGAAGTTATATTGAATGTTTTCTCCATTCTTATACAGGAAGTCCTGCAAGCAGCTAAGCCATGTGAAGTGGAAGGCAGGAAGGGCTTTGTGGCAGCAGTGGGCTTGCTAAATGGCTATTACCCTATGTCACGATAGTAATTTAGTTGCACAGTTCATATTCTTGGTACGGCCGTTAATGTTATCTGTTTAATTCCTTGACTTCTGAGTTGAAAGAAGTTTAAAGGCTGTATGATTCGTCTGGGTTCTTCACCAACACAGGTGACTTACTTAGACTAAAACAGTTGACTAGCATAGTCCCTAGTCCAAGAAAACCCTTACAAACTTGACACTTCTGTACTATGTTAAACTTCCCTTCATCGTACAGAACATGATCTTTTAAGGAGGTAAATTGAAGGTCTTGTAGTACAGAAGATGTTAAGCCTGTAACTATGTTCAAATTACTCTTTAATACTTGGCTTTCATTTTACATATGGCTTCTGAATTAATATTCCCTGGGGTATTAACCTGAATATCATCATCTGCACTCCTGTGATCCTCTGGACCTTCTTACAACCATCTTCGAGATCCTGTTTATACTGTCTGTTAAAGCTAGCACCAGCTCTCAGCCTCATCTACTGGTCACCTGCTCTGCTGTTTACAATAATAACCAGCAATTAATGACACAAAGCCCTGTTGCTCTAGGTTAGTTCCAATTTAAGCACTGTTGTTAAGCAAATCTACAATGTACATTTGAAAAAAAATGGCTGGTATTATGGCTATTAAAGTACAATTGGCTTAGCAGCCTTCCAAAGTTGCTGGTATTAGCACTATAAACCCAGAAACTTCCTTCTTATTTTGAAATAGGAATGTTAACCACGTGGCATGTAGTACCCCAGCACTTAAGACTCAGATTAACGAAAAGGGGGTGTTCTTCATTGCAGTATGATGGATATACTTCCTGCCCGCTAGTGACAGGCTACAACAAGGTGATTCTAGCAGAATTTGACTACAACGCTCAGCCTTTGGAGACCTTCCCCATTGACCAAAGCAAGGAGAGAGTAACCATGTACCATATGAAAGCTGATATGATGCCTTTTCTTTACTGGAATGCACTACTTAAGTAAGTATTTCAGTTCTGAGCAGGCAGAGCTGCTGTGATCTTTCAGAAAAAAGCTAGGTACAGATACCTGTTCTGCTTGGTTCCTTAGGATGCACTTCATTTGCTTCTGTTCTACTTAGTCATGACTAAGACCTCAACTTTACAAGGATTCTGGGCACTGTGCTATTAACAGATATTTGTGCAAGCAGACTAGGGTTGACTTGCACAGAAGGGCACCCCTTGCCCGATTGAAAACCTGACTGAAACAACCCCCTGACACTCATCTCTCAGCAGCTATGGTATCTTACAGGAGTAAACCAAAAGCACTCCCCCTAAACCCTACTTTGGTTTATGTATGTACTGTCAACTTTCTCTGTTCCTAGGGGATACTGGGGAGGACCAGCTCCTATCAGGAAGCTAATGCATCTGGGCTTGAAGTAACTGATGGTTCTCAGTGTTGGTCAAACCCTTCTGAAGAACAAGTACTCGTCTCAAAATGGATCAAAACCTATCTTCCCTCTTGGACAGCCACCCAGTAACTGATTTTTTTTTTCTCCTTATAAAAATCAAGCTTTTGTCCTAAATTCACTTCTCCCCTTCCTAGGGATTAAGCCTTAACATGCTCTTTCACTGCTCTTCTGTGTAAACTGAGGCCTTAAGCTACTTCTGTACATACACGGGAGTTTGAACTTGCCTTAAGCTACAGCACACTACTGAAATCTTCTAGAACAATCATTAATTTTAAAGCTGTTGTGTATGTAAATTTTCTCCCTGACTCTAAACTGAATTGCCTGCAGCCAAGATCAATGTGTGCACTGGATTTAGCAGAATAATTCAATGGTAGTAAAATGGCCTGAAAACCTTCTCTTGTTCTCTTATGTTTTGAAGAGCAAAACCAATCCTGATTTCTTCATCAAGAACTGTACTTGCTGCCTAATTAGATGGATTATAGAAATTCATGCAGGTTATTGAAAGGAAAACTCAAAGCAGTATATGTGTGTATATATACACACACACTCTTCCAGGATAGTTGTGCCCCTTCACATCAGTTCCACTATAATGTTTTACTCTCCCAGGTTAAGAACATAGTGAAAAGAATTCCCAGTAGACCAGAGACTGGGAGAAGACTGAGATCATCTGAGGCCACATACTAGGCTAAAGCACAAATTAAGATGACAGACAAGGGGGAAGTGCTTTTTAATTATGACCATATATAACTCAATTTCAAGGGCAGATTGAACTACGTCGAATTTAGGAGTTCAGAGTCTTCACAGAAGCTGGAACTTTAGTGGCAGTCAGGTAGACAGCGCAGAGCAAACAGGAATCATCTTCATACACAAGAATCATTATCAGCATCTTACTTCTAAACAAAAGATATACAAGAACATATAAAGAAAGACATACATGAACATATTTCAGGCTATAGCCTCATGCTTTTTCAACACTGCCTTGAAAAAGGTTCTTGTTGAGTTGCAAGTAGAAGCATGAACATGTACCTGCATGCTAAGTAATTCTTCAATCTTATTCTGGATCTGTCCATACACGTCGTTAAACAGCTCCTCCTTTGATTTTGTTCCATTCAAATGCACTTCAAGTAAGAAAGTAAGCAAGAGAGCTGTGATTGAATGTTTCTGTAAGCCTGCCAGCTCCTAATTTACAGAGCATGCAGCTGAGTGGTATCAAACACTCCATCCACCTGCTTCAACTCCCCTCGTGCACTTAACCAGGACATATACCCCAGGTTTAAAAGCACTCTCATAAAGCCATCTTTCAAAAGTGCTTTTGTCATTATGGACATACCCACATCAACTCCAAGATCTTCCATTATCTTCCTGTGCTTTACATACATAGGCCAGACGTGGCCATCAAACAATCCAGGTGGATCTGGTACAGTGTAATTCCTCGAACTGTAAATGAAGACATTGTTATTCAAGAGTAGTCTAGTTACAGTGTAAGGAAGTGATACATAGTTCATTCAGTTTCTCTACACGCTAGCCTGAGCCTGTTGCCTCCAGTGTAGTTTCTGAGCTCATCAAAATTCAGTATTTAGCATAAGCTGCAAACATACCCCAAAGAAGCTGGAATTTGATGTGTGGGTCCAAAGTGCTCAAGATAGAAAAAAGGGCTCCTAAGACAGACTGGTCTTAACATTGAATAGCTTTAGCAGAACTGTGGGTAAAATAGCTATCTGTTTATTCCTCTGAAATGTAACTTTTTCAAGTGTAACACATTTCATTTGCATTAAGAACAACGCACGTGTACAACAATACAGCCAAATACAAAACCCCAGGACAGTTCAAGACCTGGGAACCACAGCATTGGAAAACCAGAAAGGGAGAAAGCCTGCTGAAAGATCTGTGCTGAAACTGGGCGTTTGTCTCACACACAGTAGTTTGGTGGAAAGCTTTTGGGTTTGTTTGGTGAAGGAAGCTACAGTCTTGTAACACAGCAGCTACACTAGTGTTTATCCTTTATTATCTACAAGCTCTAAAGAGAGGCAAAGTCTTGAACGGAGTAAGATGTTATTGGGCTAGCAAGGGAACTTAGAACGATAAATTTACCTTCTTCTCCTTTTACACTCTTCATATGGAATGGAAAGAAAGTACCGATGGTGGAATACGTCAATCAGTGGCCTGAAAGAGATAGATGGTTGGTTACAGCTAGACTGTTTGATTAGTAGCAAGAAGTGGAAAGGTAAAACTACATCCATTTCCTGTACCTAGAGCTATCTTCAGCCTTGTGACACCTAAACTCAGCAGCAGTCAACTAAGTCTTGGTGTAGAACAGGTCTTTTTATTCCCTTGGAGATTTGCCTGTCATGTAAGATCACCTATGAGTCAAAATATATGAAGCCACATTTGATTACCTGTAAGTGTAAAGCAGAAAGCCTTCAATGATAAGAATGTGGATTGTTTCATCTCCTCCCTCCTTATCTTGTAAGATTTGGGCATCCAGTGTGTTGTTGATCCCATGAGAACGTTCAAACTTGACTGGGTTTTTTATCCAAGCATTTATGGTACTCATCATAGCTTCCATATCTAATGCACTAATCACTAAGACAAAACAGGCAACTATCATTAAGCAATAATTAAGTATCATCTAGTAATAGTACAAAAGCAGTGCACATAAAGGATCAAGATGCTCAAAGCTTTTGAGTTAAGCTTTGATCACACCATAGCAAAGCCTTACCATCGTACTGTTTAAACCCATCTTCAACTTCTATTTCATCTTGGGGCTGAAACAGTAACAAGAAAAAAAAACTGCTTGGTCAGGACAGCTGCTGGGAAGCTTGACACCCATTCCAAAGCAAGATTCAAGATCCGAACCCTGAAGCGACACGGAGGAATCTGAACCTTCCACCAGGTTTCCTTGCATGCAGATAAAAAGCGGGAGCAGCGAGGCCAAGATAAAGCGGCCCTCTCCCCTATCTTACCACCACCACCAGCGCGCCGTGCGGCACTCCGAGCGCACGGAGT